AAAACATTTAGACGGTGCTCGTTTTAAGCCTATAACCTGTGTCTGTATGCATCTGTAGATTTCTTCTAAATGAACCAAAGCAAGGTAATCTGCATATTTAAAATAATATTTCAGGGGAAACCAAGCGGGAAGCTTCCGGTCTGAGAAGCAAGCGAGCGTGCAAGTCCCTTAAGCCTGCATTCTGTTGAACGGCCAGCAGGGAGACTCCACTGGTTGCAGAAACAAGTGTGATTGTATAGAAGTCTATGGTAAAATGACCCTACTCCTCACCTGAATAATTACCTCAGTAAACGCTTTCCTAATGAGTTCATGGTCTCAGTTGCTAGTTTCAAGTCTTCTTTAACACAGCATGATGTTCATTTAGTAAATTATGGTCCCATTTAGAGGAAAATAGACCATAAAGCAGAGTATGCTTCAGGGCGGGACTATCTGAGATAGTCAAGTCATTACAACGGCGACCTGTCAATCAGGCTAGAGTGACTCGTACCCATGGAACTGTGTAAATTTAACCAGCACCACTGAAAAAGAGTTGGCTGCCAATTTCTCTGGTTAGTTGGCTACATTTAGTTTTTAGACTGTTTTATGCTAGACAAAATTATCACTGGTTAAAATGACAGTTTACGTGAATTACAAATGCACCTAGCTAGCAGCAAGCTAGCTAGCTCCACAGGGAGCTGTTGGCTCCACAGTCTCTTCCAAATATGGTCATGTCCGATGCCGCTGGTTGCAAAAAATCAACATGGCGGCACCCTAACGGCCAAACTTGAGGCTACAAACCAACGTAGTCACGATGACTTTGCCCACTTCTCTTATACAGTTTATGTGGGAAACACTCTTGATGTAGGTCATTAACAATTTAGTATTACAGAAGCAAATCCTAACTAACTTTCAGAATCATATCTTATCTCAGGTTAGGAAATCCTAAATACTCAATCTAACATCGGTTATCAATTTTTATGTCTGTTACCTAGCAACCCATGCCACTTTTCTCATCTCGTGAGCTAAATGGCTTTTAACAGCTGTTTTACGGTAGTTTTTTTAATGAAACATAGGCTACTGAAAAATGGAGCAGAAACAACAACTATTATTGAACTTCAAGTCAGAAGTGTTTTTAACCTCCGTCGAGAAATCCAAATTCACGTAGGCTAATGCTTAACTCGGGAGATTAAAGATAGAGAGTGGGCTAAAATAGCTGACACAGTCAACGCCGCATATCCGGCCTCCAGCAGAGTGTTGACACTGTTAAAATGAAAATAATTCCTTTTACAAGTGATACGAAGAGAAAGGCAACTGTTGTGTCCAAAGAGCAGAGGAAAACTGGTGGTGGCTCCTCCTGTGCTGATACTTTTGTTACATCGGGCCTTTACTTTAGGCTATATAATGAGACATTATCTAGCATTACATCGCCTACAGCCTTTCCACTAACGAGTGTTTTGTCACCAACCGCATAGGTAGAATCAATTAAGTCCCAACTGTTGACATTTTATTGATTTTGTAAAATCAATCAGAGATGCCATGTGGATTACACAAGTTAGCTAACACTAGCCTACCTGGTGGAAAAGTAAAGTTAGGACAGCTTAACAGTTCTCCTAAAGTTAGGAGAATTTATTTAAGATTTTAAGTTAGGATGCTTCTGTAATACACTTTTCCATGGTTTATCATGGTTACCAAGCAGTTAGGATAGGATAGGATCTGCTGGTTAGGAGGTTTCTGTATAAGATGCCAGGCTCATATCTAAATGAATGGGGAGAGAGCCAGAACTGCATTGATACAGGTCACTGGGACATAAAAACTACATGACTAGAATCAGCATTAAAATCTGATAATACTCGCTGAAAAAGTTTGACAACTTTGCCCCAAAGGTTTTAAAGCGTTTTTCCTGACCGGTTACACGTCTACTCTGCATGCGTCACCACTTCAACGCATGCGCAGTACAAGTAATACGGACCCTCACGCCAGTGGAACCACATGATTGGCTGAAAGATGATTCCCGCTTTGGCCGTTAAAAGCAGATCATTGGCTTTCTAGCGGGAGGGGCGGGATAACCGCCAGCTTTCATGTTCACATGTTCATGACCACTCACCTCATAAACTGAGAAAATCACAGCTGGCATAAGAGCTGGGAGGGGCTGCTGCCTGTGTGTCTGTGAGAGAGAGAGAGAGAGAGAGCATCTGAACGATCTGAACTCCACAAAGTCTAATCTCCCGATCTGATATTTTTATTCTATATCCATGAAGGAGTATGAAGTATATAGCCTATATACAGAAAAAAGGACACCTTCTCTTGAGGAAGAAAAGGGCAGGTGCTGAAGCCCCTTTTGATGTTTAGGCTATAGGCAATGTCTGTTCGGGATTAATTTGTGGACACGTCAACATGCAGACTGGGGGAAGCAGCCCCCGGACATAAAAAACTGGGTGTAGCCTAAATTCAACAAATTCTCATCCCAAGGCGTGAAAATCCGACGTTTGTGAAATAACTTAAATATTCATGTAATATTTCAGTAACTTGTAGTTTTTTTTTTTAGGCCTTGTAGCAGTTTTTGTTTTCTATGTCCAACAGTGTTTTAATAGGAGTGTAGAGTAGGCTGCTTACCGGCATTGCTTGGGGCTGCGGATCCTAAAGAGAAACATTTGATTAGATTAGCTTATCAATTCAAAGACAATTTTACAAGTAGGCTAAAAGTTTGTAGTCATTGCTTTATATTTAGTTTGATGCTTATCATACCATGACTTCATTCGGCACATTAATGCGAAGGCTACAGATAAAACACCATATCTATTATGAAAAACAGGGAGCAGAATTTGTTCAAAACTGTCGTGACTTACCAGAATTGATCCACAACCCCCATCAAGCGGGGGCGACAGATGTGTTCTAGAGGATATGTAAAAAACTTATATCTTACTGTTCGATAAGATTCTATGTTTTTTTCAGAAATCCAGTCGAGAGCAGACCTGTCAACCCCCGCTTGGTACTTGTTTATTTTTCTTTCTTGCTTTCTTTTGTTTGTTTGGTCGGACTTCGTTGAAGAAAGATTAGTAGCCATTGTTCGTGTGCTTCCGTGTGGCTGCTTATAAGTGCTTCCCATGGCCAATCATTTTGGAGAATCTATTGTCGCCTTGCCAACTTTGGCTACAGTAGATGCTGGAATGATGAGTTTCAGGTTTAAAGGGTGGAGCAACCACTTGTGTTGTAAAGTGGTAATTTACTGAGAGAGTTAAAATAAAAGCAGTGCAGAGAGTCACGTAACACCAGAGTTCAGCAAGCTATTTGTGAGCTAAGCTACTAGCGACTCTACATTAAATGAAGCTTCACTAAACAGAAGCCATAGGCCCCCAGTGAAATGTAGCAAGCTAAGCTACAGCAACGTGGCAAAAGTAGCTTAATTACATCTAAGCTACTTTAAATTTTGAATATTTTATAGTTAGGTCTAGTGACGTCTTATACACACAAACAGGCTAGGCCGAGTTTATATGAACTAACTTCATTCCACAGTAGCACTAGACGAAAGACTAAAAACCTGCTCCAAACAGTGTGTGTGTGTGTGCGAGAGAGTGAGCTAAATCAGACACACAGAAACTCTTCTACTTCCTGCCACATCATTGCAGCTGAATGTATTTCCTAATGCAACAAACGGAGAACCATTGTTGTTTTTATAAAGTTACTTAATTATCACATTATTATCATTGAATTTTTTTTTAATAATTGTTCCTTTGAAAAATTCTACTGCTTGTCAAAAAGCAAGACATATTTTCAATGTAACATATTCGTCTTTCTGAAGTTTTTTAGAGAGAGAGAAAGAGAGAGAGAGAGAGAGAGAGAGAGAGAGATCTCATCTCATGGAAACAAGTTTCTGCCACTACAAATCAAAGTTTCCTCCTCACTAGAGGAAGAGGTGTCCAGGCTGGACCCTGGTCCTTCTCATAAGAGGTGTTACAATAACTATCACAATAGAAAGTAAACTCAGTCACGCGTCTTTACTCCCCT